TATTATTATTTTTTCTCTGTGATTTCGACATGTGAATTTCTTTTGTAGTTTCTGATTCTTTGTGAGACTCAGGCCTTCAAGTTTAGGTCTGCTTGTTTTTGTGAACTTTATGTGTTTTTGTGGTTTACTTTTGGGGCATGAAAAGCTGGTTTGTCTAAGCTTCTAGTTCTCTCTTTTGATTTTATATTGGAGTGGCCAGATTGCTTTTGTCTTCAGGAGTTCCCACAGAGGTCCAAGTCAGATGAGGATCAGATATTCTCAGGCTTTCTCCTAAGGTCTGGATAGCGCCAGGAAAGATGTTGTCCTCAGGAATTTGGGGGTTGGACTGGCCTGGGAGCAGGGCCCAGGACAAGATGCAAAAGGAGATGGGGGCGCGAAGAGGCCCCAAGGGCTCCTGGGGACTGCAGGAAGGAACTGGGTTGGTTTGAATGCAAAGGATCAGGAAGCCGAGAGGTCAGCCCCAGTGTCCAGGAAAGAGGTTGGTGGGTTGTGCAGCCCAGGAAAGCAGAGGGAGGTGAGGGTGGGACCAGGCCAAGAGGAGTCCTGGGGACTCAGAGAAGGAACTGGTTTGGTCTGGTTGCAAAGGATCAGGAAGCAGTGGTGATTCCCCCAGTGTTTGGGGTGCCAAGACAAGGAATGGGACAGGACCCAGGCTAGGAGGAGAGACGGGCAGTGGAGATGGGAGGATGAATGGGACTAGGGGAGTCAAGGTGCAGAGGGTGGGATGGACTTACCCAAGAGAGATGGTGGCGGGTTATGCAGGCCCAGGAAAACAGCTTATCATCTTTCTTTACTGCTGAATAGAACTCCATTGTGTAAATATACCACATTTTTGTTAACCACTCGTCAGTTGAGGGACACTTAGGTTGCTTCCGTCTCTTAGCTGTTGTGAGAAGAGCAGCAACAAACATGGTTGTACAACTATCTCTGCAATAGGATGAGTGTAAGGAAGTATGAAGAATTCTCAGGGTTGCAAAGATAGGTACTATAAGTGCCTTTACTTACATCACCCCCACTGTCAGAGGTTGCTTGAAATGTCCCTGGAAGGAACAAAATAAGACCATTGTCAGCATCCCAGTCCTTCTACACAAAAAGAACAGGAATGGATGAGGACATACATGGGAAGGCATTTTATATACATTGAAATACTATAAACTAAACAGGAATTACTCTTTCTGTCCTGTGATTTGAAAGACCACCTAGTATTTAGACTATAGTTGGCTTTCAGTCTAAAGTAGTGAATATGTGATCACTGAGGAGTAATACATGCTTTCTTTTCTTCTTTCTCTCTTTCTCCTTTCCTTTTTTGTATGCAGATTCAGAATGTGCTTTATGATTTTTTTAAGAAGCCAGGCTTAAATCTTGGTAAGTATACCTATTATTGTAGTATGGGGGGGGCTTTGAAGTCATATAAGGAGTCAATATGGAGACCTATGTTGTGGGACGCTCTTACTGATAAAAATAGGCTCTTTTGTTCCTTCCAGACAGAGAATGTCAAAGAACACAGAGGTAATCAATCATCCTCAACCCTTTTAGTCCAGTGTTCCATTGTATTACAAATATTCTGTGATACCTTCTTATTATCCTATGACATTCCCAGAAAATATTAATTATAATTTTAAAAAGATATGTTTTAACTAACATAAAAGAAAAAAATACAAAGAAAGGTATTAAGATTCTATATAATGTATCTCAATCTATAAACATTTGGTTACAACATTATTAGAAGACGTAATGAGTGATTAGAGAAATGGCTCAGTGGTTAAGAGTTTTGGCCTCTCTTGCAGAGAACAAAGGTCCCATTCCTAGCACCCACATAGCACCTAACAACCATCTGTAACTCCAGTTCCAGAGTATCCAACACCCTCTGCTGACCTCCATGGGCATTGCATGCACATAGTGCATCTACATACATGCAGGCAAAACACTCAAACACATAAAAAGAATAAATGAATAAATTTTTTAATTTATTGTTTTTATTTTATGTGTATGAAGTGTATTGCCTACATGTGGGTAGGTGCACCTATGTCATGCAATGCTGTGGAGGTCAGAAGAGGGAGTTGTATCCCCTGGAACTGGAGTTACAGACGGTTGTTAGCTGCCATGTGGGTGCTGGGAATTGAATCCAGGTCCTCTGCAAAAGCAGCCAGTGCTCTTAACTGCTGAGTCATCCCTCCAATCCTGTAAATTTAATTTTTAAAAATTATTTATTAACCACATACTTAGAAGAAGCATTTCATTACAACAGCATTGACACATTCAATAACAGTTTCCGGAGCTAAGATGCATCTCTTTCAAAATTGGCTGTAAATTTTTAGGTTCACAGTTGAATTATTACAGTTATACAGTATTGTACTCAGTATAAACCCTGTAAGACATAAAATTAGATGAGGTTTTAACCTTTAAAAAAGGTCTCCATTTCATCATTAAAATACACAGTTTCATACAGAAAAATTCATTTTTAATGCTATTGACACT